TCAGGTTGTGGGCCCAACAAGCATACGTCTTTGTTTTCTTTGGGTATATCACAAAAAAAAGAAAGGGGCATGAGGGACCCTTTTTCTCTGCATTAAAAAATAGCTTAAAATGTTGTTTATTCCTCAAATTGTACGTTAAAGAATGACAGACATATGCCTGCAACTTGCATATCAGACTATATAATAATGTGTATAAACAATTAGCTAAACTATTATTACTTAATATACATAGTAAATATAATGAATATTAACATTGTGCATGGTATCTTTGCTTTGAATTTGGATCTAGGTACTTGCACATGGTGTTTTTATTACCTATTTTTCTCTGTTCTGAATGAAAAACCTATTGACAAATAACCAACATTTGCAAATGAATATTTCCGACTTCTCAGAGTTAATTCAGAAATGAGCCTTATAATGTGCAAATTTGGATTTAGCTAGTCGGCCTTGGGTATTAAACATAAATTTGGATTTAGCTAGTCAGCTTTGAGTACCAAACATCGAATGTGAAATAAAAGAAAAAGGTAAAGTGTGTAGTGTACACTTAGTTCAATCTTTTTGCAAGGCAAAAGGAGTTTATAGATCTTGTCCAAAATGAGCATCTTAGATATATATAAAAATATACTAATTTGAATCTATCAATATCAAGCTGCCTACCTCCCTTGGGATCCCCCCACTCCAAGGTAATTTTTGTAGGATATTATTTTCTTTTTCAACGACATACCGTCAGTAAGTTCAAAATGAATAAAAAAATTAATATATTTTAAACTTTACATAGTGTGTAACAAAAAAACAATGATTTTCAGTTGGACACATGAATCCACCTCTATAGGTGGGAACTATTCCTGTTTAAAGATAGTGAATCGATATTTCTTCGTCAAAAATTACATTATATAAACAGGTCAAAAACAAATCTATGCACATGTTATGAGCAAGAATTTGATTAGTAAAAATTCTAATTCTGACACGATTACCAACAAGATGTGGAAAATGGAATAGTAGTGTAATGTGCATGATGCATATTCATACAAAAATGATTGAAGTTATTGTCAGAAATATTTTGGAGAAATGGTTGTAAGTTTTTAGGCAAAGGGGACAGACACTACAACACTGTGAAAAGGAAATGTCATACGTACAATGCAAATACAAAACAGATTCACGGGTGCTTTTCTCATTTTTTTTTTATTTTTTATATTGATTTTCCCAATTCCTTTATTATTATTAGAAACAAATGATAGAATAGCTACATTGGATCCATTATGCTTAATTTGGGCTACATATCCTTTATTATTATTAGAAGGAAAAACTACAGAAAATGTCAAACTACCTATTATATTAAAATAATATCAGTATATATAATTGTTAAAGAGCAAAAAACACAAAACTCATTAATTTTAGGATCTAATTATGTGCCTTCATTTTAGTTTTTGAAATTATTTTCCATTACACATTTACCTCGTCATATACATATATTTGGTACACTCAGATATATTATCTCAATCATATGTGGGTCAAATTAGATGTTATATACAGGCATGATTCACATATATTACGAATACTAAGATTCTCTTGCTAGCCTCTCTCCTATATTACTCGTTTAAATAGACCAAAATGATTGGAGAAAAATGGATGGATCTAGAGATTGTTTCGTTTTTGAACTACTCCCTGTAGACACGTAATTTTTGACCAAACATAAAGTTTTACACCATTTATATTTCTTAAATATTTCTTCTAGGTCTCCATTAGATATTTTTATATTTTTCATCTTATTTTAGTAAGTTTATTTTAAAAAGATATGAAAATAACAAAAAAAATGTATATATAATATTTATGTTTTATTTTTTAGTTTAGTAAATAAGCTAGTATTTCTTATTTATAATTTATTATTAGCTACTCAGTTTTTATTAGTTTGAAAGTATATTATATTATGTTATTAATAATATATAAAAAAAAAACAACCTAAAACTAACATACCACTCACGTATCCCCACTACCCCTATACTTTCACCCCCACTTCCCATGTCCCACCGTACACTCCTCACACCACTACATGATTTGCACAATATATACACTACACTCGACAACAATACAAGGGGGAAGAGAGGCAGACGAACGATTCTGCAAAAAGGAGAACCCACGCCAGAAAGAAAAAAGAAGGAACAAACGTTCCATTTTTATTTTTTTCCAAACTTCACCAATACATTCACATAATTTCATTTTTTTTCGTTACTACTTTATCTAAATACAATATATATACTACCACATACAATCTACAAAAGCCTTGTGAGCGTTCTAATCGAGATTCGGTCCAGATTTTGCGGTTTTTATTTCTTCAATTAAGGTTCAACTTTACCTTGTCTCTTTAATTTAATCATGGAATTTGATGTAATTTTATGATAAGTTTTCTTTTATTTTTTGTTTTATTTATAATTTGATTGAAATGAAGAATGTGTTAAGAGTTATATATCTTTTTAAATGGCTTTATTTGATGAAAAATTATTGTTGTTTATTTTGCCCAATAAAGAATGAGATTTATTTTAGCAATTTGTCATTGTTTTTGTTGGATTAATAAGAAATTACAATATATGTATGCCAAATTTTGTCATTAACTCTAAGATAAAAAAAACAAAAATATAATGTGTAGGCGTAATTTTAATATTAACTTTAAGGGTGAATAAAAATAAAAGAATACAAGATAATCTAAAAATTTTATTGTATCCTAGAAGTTTAGATTTGTTTTATTTTATTTGATTTTATTTAATATTTTCTTATAACATTAGACGGGTTTTACGCATGTAAACAAAATATAGTATTTGTTTCAATTAAGAATGTGGTTACACATCTTTTTTGAAACACTTAAAAGAAATTCAAGGATGTGGTGACACACCTTGATAAAATTATTCAAATATATATTTTAACATGTGGGTTAATTTAATTAAAAGTATCATCAATAAATATAATAATGAAATGAGAAGATTAGTTGTCTAGAATTCAGAAAAATAAGAGTAAGTACTTTTAATACTAGATGAGTTTTATGCACATTAAAAATATTTGTAAAAAATTAAGAATGCGGTTGCGCATCTTTTTTTGAGACAACGAAAAAAAAAACTCAAGGATGCGGTGATGCCCCTTGTTTAAAAATATAATAACTTTCATTAATTTAAAATAAGATCACTTATAGATAAAATTAGGTGATGCACTCGAGAGAAGAAAACAATTATGTTCATAAGCTATTTATATGTCAAAAGTCAAGAATGCAGTTATGCATCCGATTTGAGACCAAATAAAAGTTCAACAATAAAAATGCAAACAAGTCATGACCTGAAAATAATATATCCACAAATGATTTAAAGTAGGTAAAAGTCAATAAAGGCGACCGTGCTAGAACCACGGGACTCAAGGGATGCCTAATACCTTCCCCTCGGTCAACAGAATTCCTTACCCGAATTTCTAGTTCGCAGACCATATAAAGAGTCATTTCCTTTTGATTAGGGATTAAACAAAAGGTGACTTGGAACACCATAACTCAATTCCAAGTGGCGACTCTGAAACGAAAATAAAATAATCCCTAAGTCAATACTGTCACTTAAATTGGAAAAACCCTTCCGCCGCTATGCGCAAAAAGGGGTGTGACATCTCTGGCGACTCCGTCGGGGAATAACCAGAATTCGAGCTTTGTATATTTGACTTTTACTTTATTTTATTATATTATTTCATTGGATATATTGTTTTGATGACCTAATGTGCTACTTGCTGCTCATTTATCGCTTTAATATTGTTGAATTGTATATAATTTGTCTTCTCGTACACCATCTGAGTCTCTAAAAATAGGGTAGTAGGGAATGCAGTTATGCATCCCAATTTCTTTTGAGATAAAGCTGGAGTGTCTGGGCACCCAGTGAAGGATTTTAGTCACACATGTTAGGCAAGGTTGGACCAACAATGAAGTCGGAATAGCGCTGCTACCGATAAGTTGCCCCTCCTTGGCTCGAGTTGTCTACTCGGGTAAGCCAGTCTAGGTACCTATCTTATTTCGGTTTGAACCTAGTAAAACTAGAACATAAACACGATTATCCCTAGAAGACTCTGATTCATGTGACTTAGTGAGCCTCAAAACAAGAGTTGGATCCGTCCAAGACAAGTATCCCTCTCTTACTTGACCGCTTAGGTCATTTTATGTGCTACATGAAAATGCATTAATTTGAAAGTTTCTATAGTTTGACTCATTTTAGTATGACTAATGCAATGAATTTTTATTTTTTTTTAATCTTTTGATCTTATTTAAAAAAAATAAAATGAGAAAACACGAAAATATATCTTCTTTTAGAAGTTATTATACATTTCTTAAAATGAAATAAAAAATTTGCATTACTTAATGAAAAGAATAATAATATTTTTATTTAGATTTTTTTCATAAAGTTTGTAAAAAGAAAATTCAAAATATTTTACTTTCATAATATTTTGAAAAGTTACATTTGTCAAAATAAAAATAAAAATTTAATATCTTAAAGTTTTTTTTACTGTCCAATCTGGACGAACTACGCACACCTGATTCTCACCTCAATGAGATACGTAGGCAACCCTCTTTGGGTTCGGTGATCTTTATTCAAAAATAAAAAAATAAAAAATTATTTTTCAAAAGTTAAAAAAAAAAATGGAAAACAAGAAGCTTTAATCTTTATCAAAAATAAGTTTTTATTAATTTTCTTTTAATAATTCAAATAAAAAAAAAACTAAAGAACTTTATCTCAAAGCTCTAAAAAAGAAAAGCTTAATTATTGAGTTTTTGAAAAAATATGCAAAGATCTTTGCAAGCATGTTACATATGCAATCTCAAACGGATTTGATCAGTGCATTATTAAAAAAAAAAAAAAATTATAATTGAAGAAGGTCTAACCCTAACAAGCATTGCTATCTATGCACAGTTAAATTAAAGTGGTTGATTTGTGGTTAAGCTGTCATCTCATCCCTATAATACAAGGTCAAAAGGGAAAAAGAAAATGACTCACAAAGACGGAAATGAGTCAGACAATGATGAGGTCCAGAATCAGATGATGTCACAAGAAACAGTGTTAGCCGAAGAGATAAGGATACTAAGACAGCAAATGACGGAGATGTACGAAGCTTGGATGAGTGGACAAGCTCCACCGCCTTCAATCCGTGACTATCTAAATATAAATATGTCACCCCCTGTCCAAGTATCGATAAGTGATCCAATTTATCCACCTGGATTCGGTCCCGCATCCAATGTAGCTGGAACTTCTACGGTGCACCCTTTGAATACGCCTATGACAAGTAATCCACTATTCATTCCAACTGCGCCGACTAATGTCGTTCAACAACCTATAATGGAGCCAAAATCCAACAACGATCCTCTACTTAAAGTTCAATATGATCGAGATTATACTCCTGAATTGACTTTTAAAATTCCAAGCTCTTACCCTCACACTCATCAGTATAGTTCCCATGTTGAAGCTGAAAAAGTTGTTAAGAACGAGGAACATGAAGAAATGACTAGAAAAATGAAAAGTTTGGAACAGAGTGTAAGAGATATGCAAGGATTGGGAGGTCACAAAAGTGTCTCGTTCAATGATTTGTGCATGTTTCCCCACGTTCATCTACCCATCGATTTTAAAACTCCAAAGTTCGAGAAATATGATGGACATGGAGATCCTGTAGCTCATTTAAAGAGATATTGTAATCAATTGAGAGGGGCTGGAAGCAAAGAAGAATTGCTCATGGCTTATTTTAGGGAAAGTTTGATGGGAATTGCCTCAGAATGGTTCCTAGACCAAGATACTTCTAACTGGCATACATGGGATGATTTGGCTCGATGTTTTGTTCAACAATTTCAATATAACATTGACATAATTCCAGATCGCACTTCACTTGTCAACATGAGGAAGAGGACCATTGAAAATTTTCGTGAATATGCTATTAGGTGGAGGGAGCAAGCTGCTAGGGTTAAGCCTCCAATGAAAAAGTCTGAAATGATCGATGTTTTCCTTCATGCGCAAGAACCAAATTACTTTCATTATTTACTTTCCGTTGTTGGAAAAACATTTGCTGAAGTTATTAAGATTGGTGAAATGGTGGAAAATGGCATCAAGTCTGGAAAAATTGTAAGTCAAGCTGCCTTGAAAGCTACAACACAGGTGATTAAAAATGGATCAGGAAATTTTGGGGGAAAGAAAATGAAGGAGGATGTAGCAAATGTTGTGTCAGGCACACAAAAAAGTCCAAGGGGTCCACCTTATCAATCTGCACCACCTCAATACCATCACTATCTCCCTATGCAAGACACACAATATTCTGTTGTTCCACCTCAATATGCGGTTTACAATGCACAACAATATGCATACCCACCAAACTATCCTCAATGGCAAGCGCCAACATATCAAAATGTTCACTCTTCTTCTCAAAATTTTCGAGCACCTTATAATCTTTGTCCGAGACAGGGATTTGGAGGAGGTCAAAGGCCTCGAAACAATTTCACACCAATTGGAGAGTCTTACACAAGTTTATTTAACAAGTTGAAACATTTGAAGATAATAGAGCCGATTCCTCAAAATTATGTGGATCCACATACAAAGGGTTTCAATCCTACAGCACGATGTGCATACCATTCTGATGCTCCAGGGCACAGTATTGAAGATTGTCGTGATTTTAAAAAAAAGGTGGAAGAGATAATTCAAACAAAGATGATTGTGGTTCAAAATGATGACCCCCAAATGTTACTAAGAATCCTCTACCGGCGCATAGTGATGTACACTTTATCGAGATGATATGTGATGACAAAGAATATGACAATTCTGAAGAAAAGACAATTGAAATTGGTAGAGCTTTTACGAAGATTAACGTGCAAAGCAGTGGCTAAGAAGTTCAACTTGGTGATTATGAGACACTCTTCTTTTCTCTAAAAAGAGTGTATAGATAGTTTATTTTGTCATCATTTCTGCTATGTAATCATTTTTATTTTTAGTAAGTCAAATCTTTCTATCATTTCTCTTATGCGTTTGTTTGTTTAGTCTTGTCGTAGTTTGAGTTGTGACCTAAATTTAGTTTGTTGTCTTGTCACCAAGTTTTTTTTTAAATTTTTTTAATATAATCTTTATTCTGTGTCACTTTGATCCGTTCTATTTGGCATTACACATATACATCTCTTTTCAGTTCAATTTTGTGACATGATATGCAAAAGGATTTGGTCAGATCTTAAGATTATATCTAATCATGAAATGAATACATCAAAGGAAAAAATTTCTTTTGAGGAAATGAATAAAGGACTTAGACACCTTGATACTTCCTTTAGTATCAAAAAGGAATTGACATGTCATTTGTTGTCAAGAAGGTATTACACTCAGCTGACAAACATGCACCAAAATCATATACATATTCATCAATACATATGTTGCAAAGAAATATTGTATGATTTTCACTTCACATCTTAAAGGGAATTGCTTGTATTTGACATTTTTAATAATTGATATGACGAAGGCATTTCATTCTACTATCCAAACACCATGTAATCCTTTGCTATCCCTTTTGAGCCTTAATTTTATTTTCTTTCACACCCCTCTTTTGGAATCAAAATACAGTAAAAAAATAATTAAAAAAAGGGTCAAGAAAAGAGAAAAGTGAAAAAAGAGTTGAAAAAAAAAGGAAAAAAAGAAGAAGAAAAATTGGAGTGAAAAAAATAATAATCCAATAACAACAAAAAAACAAACTTCCTGAACTACGTTCGACCTGATTCTTGCTTTGACAAGATACGTAGGCAACCTTATTTTGAGGTTCGGTCCAAACAAAAAAAATAAAAAAAAATCTAGAAAGTCCTCATCACAATAACTGGGGCAAAAATAATAATAATAATAATAATTATTATTATTATTATTATTATTATTATTATTATGTTACGCAGTATCTTTGAGCTTTCATGCCAATCCTTTCATTTTAACCCTGTCCAAAAGCCACGTTACAATCCAAATAAAGACCTTCTGATCAATTTTTAACAATGACAAGTCAAGCAAGCTTTTAGTGTTGATTATATAAGGAAAAATGTTATGCCACTCGCATAAGGAGTGAAAAATGAGGGAATCTTATCGATGAAAATCCTCAAAATCCCTCTAGGAGATCATTTGAGTCGAGAGAAAGTAAAAAATGAGAGAGTCTTATTGGTGAAAACCCTCAGGGTACCGTAAGACGATAGTGAGTGAGAGATAAGAAAAAAAAAAGACTTGTTAGTGAAAACCTTTCGAGGCACCACTAATCAAGTGTTAGTCATAAATCTAGTGCAAAAGTCGGATTATAGAAGTCTGACTTCAAAGTTGAAAGTTTGACAAAGATAAAGTTTAGATTGATTGGACAGACCAGACCATTTAATCCAAAAAGCATGTCATGATCATTAGAATTGACCACCACTATCAATGAAATCCATTTATTTTTCTTTACTTATTTTTTTTTTTATTTTATTATTTTTTTTTATTTTATTTTTTCTTAAAAGGATCAAATATTATTTTTTCTTATTTTGCGTCTCGCTCAATTCAATCTTGAGATAGTCTTCATTAAGCATGCAGAAAATGATTTCAAAATTGCTACCATCTCTTCAATTGCACAAAACAAGGCTTGATTAGCCCATCAATCGTGACATGATTCAAGAAATAGTGATATGCATAGTAACTTGTCAGCAATTGACAATTTTTGAATACAAGGTTCAATTATTGTTAGAGGGTGAAAACAGTAAAACAAATTTGAAGTTGGAAGTTCTGAACAACTAGAGATGTTTTCAAGATTATCAAGGTGAGCTGACTAGCAAACAAAAGCAGTCAATCTCAAGCTAAAATTAGCTTCAAACATGACAACAACAGGAGCAACTATCCTCAAAGCCAATGCCACAAATTGACCACCATTAAAAAAAAAAAAAAACATAAACTTTCTTTTGTTTCTTTTCTAAAACAGGGAAATATTCCTTACGTAAAAGATATCTTGAAGACTCAAATTTGTTAATATTATTGCAAGAAAAAAATATATATTATTGCATTGTTTCTCCTATGATAAATGTTTTCTAGTGTGAGACAATTATTTTCATTTTTTTTTAGGATAAACATTTCCTAATATAAGACATTTAAAAACTAAAAAAAAAAAAAAGGGATAAAATATTGTGGTGATGTTATTTGATGATTCTGTTAGCAGGACCCTCCTACATAATGAGATTTAGATTAGCAGGACTTTCCTACATAATGAGATTTAGATTAGCAGGACCCTCCTACATAATGGGATTTAGATTAGCAGGACCTCCTAATGAACAGGACCCTCCTACATAATGGGATTTAGATTAGCAGGACCCTCCTACATAATGGGATTTAGATTAGCAGGACCCTCCTACATAATGGGATTAACAGGACCTCCTACATAATGGGATTTAGATTAGCAGGACCCTCCTACATAATGAGATTTAGATTAGCAGAACCCTCCTACATAATGAGATTAACAGGACCCTCATACATAATGGGATTTAGATTAGCAGGACCCTTCTATATAATGAGATTTAGATTAGCAGGACCCTCCTACATAATGGGATTAGCAGGACCCTCCTACATAATGGGATTTAGATTAGCAGGACCCTCCTACATAATGAGATTAACAGGACCCTCCTACATAATGGGATTTAGATTAGCAGGACCCTCCTACATAATGGGATTAACAGGACCCTCCTACATAATGGGATTAACAAGACCCTCCTACATAATGGGATTTAGATTAGCAGGACACTCCTACATAATGGGATTTAGATTAGCAGGACCCTCCTACATAATGGGATTAGCAGGACCCTCCTACATAATGAGATTTAGATTAGCAGGACCCTCCTACATAATGGGATTAACAGGACCCTCCTACATAATGGGATTTAGATTAGCAGAACCCTCCTACATAATGAGATTTAGATTAGCAGGACCCTCCTACATAATGGGATTAACAGGACCCTCCTACATAATGAGATTTAGATTAACAAGACTCTCCTACATAATGAGATTTAGATTAGCAGGACCCTCCTACATAATGGGATTAACAGGACCCTTCTACATAATGGGATTTAGATTAGCAGGACCCTCCTACATAATGGGATTAGCAGGACCTTCCTACATAATGGGATTAGCAGGACCCTCCTACATAATGGGATTAGCAGGACCTTCCTATATAATGGGATTAGCAGGACCCTCTTACATAATGGGATTTAGATTAGCCGGACCCTCCTACATAATGGGATTAGCAGGACCCTCCTACATAATGGGATTTAGATTAGCAGGATCCTCCTACATAATGGGATTAGCAGGACCCTCTTACATAGTAGGATTTAGTTATTTTCTCCTAGGTAAACACTTCTTATTCGGAGACATTTATTTTATTTTATTGTTTTTTCTCCTAGGATAAACGCTTCCTAGTCTGAGTTTATTTTTGAAAATTTACATTTGCTAATAACTCACAAAATTTTTCCAGTGAAAACTGGGGCAAAAATTTTGTTTATTTCTTTTGTTTGTGATGGTTTTCAGGGTTCTTCAAGCGAAACATGGATTGGAAATTCAAGAATAAAGTTTCTACCCTTTTTCAGAATGATCAATTTCATGATAGTTAGAATCAACTTCTTCAATGCATATAACAGCCTGACTTCCTGACATCTATTTTTATTCAGCTTCTGATGAAGAAAACATGCAGTCATTCAAGAACATATTCAAATTGTCATTTTGAAGAGTGCCAAAAACTCAATCTAAGCGGCAAGTTAAGCCTCAATCCAATTCAAGATCAAGATACTCACCCAAAAATCAAGGTGATATCTGAAAGTAAAGACACAAGTGAAGACTCAAGAGAAGTTGTATAGATAGGAGCTTGTACTTTTATTTTCCTTTTGACTATTAGCTTTCTTTTTTTATGTAAGGATAAGAACCGCGACCTGGAGCCTCGATGGAACCTCACTTAACTTCCAACTCATCACCTCATCTCCTTGAACTACACGTGACCTGATTCCCTTATAACCCGGGATATGTAGGATGTCCAAAACCAAGACTCGGTCGCACAAATTTTTCCTTCAAATACTAGTTCGGTCAAAACTTGTCACGATATCTACTTCTTTGTCTGAAAACTCTTCGTGTTTCCAATCAAAGAGGGGCAAACTGTAGACACGTAATTTTTGACCAAACATAAAGTTTTACACCATTTATATTTCTTAAATATTTCTTCTAGGTCTCCATTAGATATTTTTATATTTTTCATCTTATTTTAGTAAGTTTATTTTAAAAAGATATGAAAATAACAAAAAAAATGTATATATAATATTTATGTTTTATTTTTTAGTTTAGTAAATAAGCTAGTATTTCTTATTTATAATTTATTATTAGCTACTCAGTTTTTATTAGTTTGAAAGTATATTATATTATGTTATTAATAATATATAAAAAAAAAACAACCTAAAACTAACATACCACTCACGTATCCCCACTACCCCTATACTTTCACCCCCACTTCCCATGTCCCACCGTACACTCCTCACACCACTACATGATTTGCACAATATATACACTACACTCGACAACAATACAAGGGGGAAGAGAGGCAGACGAACGATTCTGCAAAAAGGAGAACCCACGCCAGAAAGAAAAAAGAAGGAACAAACGTTCCATTTTTATTTTTTTCCAAACTTCACCAATACATTCACATAATTTCATTTTTTTTCGTTACTACTTTATCTAAATACAATATATATACTACCACATACAATCTACAAAAGCCTTGTGAG